TGTAGGTGCAATAATAATAACCCCCCAGATAAATCCTTTGGCTCCCATGCACAGTGCACAGGCCATAATAGTATACAAATTCGAATTTAATTCCTTGCTAATTATATTTATTGTCCATGGAGATATGTGAGGCTAAAAATATATCTTCCAATATATTTGGAAGCTCCTTCTTTGGAGGCTTTTCAACAGAGGCTGAATGACCATCTGTCGGGGATGCTTTGAATGTGATTTTCCTGCTTCTGGGCAGGGGGTTGGACTGGATGGTTCATGAGGTCTCTTCCAACTCTATGATTCTATGATTCTATTATTCTAGGCCTAAACGAGCACTATGCTGTTGAACTTGCTGACTGAAAGCTCACAGATTCAAATCCTGGGAGCGCCATGAGCTCCCGCTGTTAGCCTCGGCTTCCGCCAACCTAGCAGTTCAAAAACGGAGCCCCCAGTGGTGCAATGGGTTAATCCCTTGTGCCAGCAGGACTGAAGAGTTGTAGGTCCAAATCTGGGGAGAGCATGGATGAGCTCCCTCTGTCAGCTTCAGCTCCCCATAAGGGGACAGGAGAGAAGCCTCCCACAAGGATGGTAGAACATCAAAACATCTGGACGTCCACCGGGCAACATCTTTGCAGGTGGCCAATTCTCTCACATCAAAAGTGACTTGCAATTTCTCAAGTCGCTCCTGACACACACAAAAAAAATCAAAAACATGCAAATGTGAGTAGATCAATAGGTACCGCTCTGGTAGGAAGGTAACCGCACTCCATGCAGTCCACTAGTTTTCATATTTGGGCATATTGAGTATTTGTGCCAAGTTTGGTCCAGGTCCATCATTGTTTGAGTCCACAGTGTTCTCTGAATATAGGTGAACTACAACTCCAAAAGTCCAGGTCAATGTCCACCAAACCCTTCCAGTATTTTCTGTTGGTCATGGGAGGTCTGTGGAATTTGGTTCAATTCCATCATTGGTGGAGTTCAGAATGCTCTTTGATTGTAGGTGAACTATCAATCCCAGCAACCACAACTCCCAAATGACAAAATCAATCTGCTCCAACTCCACCAGTATTGAAATGTGGGCATATTGGGTATTTGTGCCAAATTTTGTCCAGTGAACGAAGAAACAACCTGCATTTTGGATATTTACATGATGATTCATAACAGTAGCAAAATTACGGTATGAAGCAGCAACGAAAATATGAGGGTTGAATGAAAAGTAATGTCTCCACCTTCGTAACTCCTCAACAGATGGCAGTACTGGTATGCGACAGGCACTGGCTTGTTCAGTAGACTCTCCTCTACAGTTCCATTTTGGCGCAAAGCCTTAGCATTGAATGGTTGTGTTGTTAAAGTGCACAGTATGAAACCCTGCGCAGACGGTCAGTGAATGCGACTTAAGCAACGTGCAATCATTGAATTCTTGACAGCAGAAGTGTCACCCCAAAGGAGATTCATCAGAGAATGCAAGCTGTTTATGGTGATTGTGTTGATAGGAGTACTGTGCGTCGTTGGGCAAGTAAGTTTAAGATGTTGAGGTGGGAACATCTGACTTGTGTAACAAACTAAGAGGTGGATGTCCTGTGACAGCAACCACAGAGTTTCACAAGCAAAAGGTTGACAGATTGATTTAGGACGATCATCGTATCACTCAGAGAGAAATTTCAAGCATAATCAGCATTTCACAAGAACGTGTGGGTCACATTATTGCTTTGCTTGGCTATTGGAAATCTGTGCACGATGGGTTGCGGAAACAGAGTGTCGACTTCTTCGGTGACGGCGTCAGAAAACTTGTTGATTGTTTGCAGAAATGTATCCAATTGTCTGGTGATTATGTCGAAAAGTGAATAGTGGTAGTTTAAGAGCACATTCTAAGGATTTGTATTGTCGAAGGCTTTCATGGCCAGAATCACTGGGTTGTTGTAGGTTTTTTGGGCTATATGGCCATGTTCTAGAGGCATTCTCTCCTGACGTTTCACCTGCATCTATGGCAAGCATCCTCAGGATTTCCCAGAGGGATCTAGATTGCTGTTTCTCAACCTGGGGGTCGGGACCCCTAGGGGGGTCACAAGGGGGTGTCAGAAGGGGTCGCCAAAGACCATTAAAAACACAGTATTTTCTGTTGGTCATGGGGGTTCTGTGTGGGAAGTTTGGCCCAATTCTATCATTGGTGGGGTTCAGAATGCTCTTTGATTGTAGGTGAACTATAAATCCCAGCAACTATAACTCCCAAATGTCAAGGTCTAGTTTCCCCCAAACTCCACCAGTTTTCACATTTGGGCATATTGAGTATTTATGCCAAGTTTGGTCCCGATCTATCATTGTTTGAGTCCACAGTGCTCTCTGGATGTAGGTGAACTACAACCCAAAACTCAAGGTCAATACCCACCAAACCCTTCCAGTATTTTCTGTTGGTCATGGGGGTTCTGTGCACCAAGATTGGTTCAATTCCATCATTGGTGGAGTTCAGAATGCTCTTTGATTGAAGGTGAACTATAAATCCCAGCAACTACAACTCCCAAATGACATAATCAACCCCCACCCCCCACCCCCAAATCCCACCAGTATTCAAATTTGGGCATATTGAGTATTTGTGCCAAATGTGGTCCAGTGAATGAAAATACATTCTGCATAACAGATATTCACATGACGATTCATAACAGGAGCAAAATTACAGTTATGAAGTAGCAACAACAATAATGTTATTTTTGGGGGCCACCACAACATGAGGAACTGTATTAAGGGGTTGTGTCATTAGGAATGTTGAGAAACACTGCTCTAGAACATGGCCATATAGCCCGAAAAACCTACAACAACCCAATTCTAAGGATTATTTCTGCATTTGATTTATTAAAATACTAGCTGTCCCCTGCCATGCATTGCTGTGGCCCAGTCTGCGTATATGTGTTTTATGTGTGTATATTTATGTATATGTGCATATATGTGTGTGTGTGCGTTTACATAGGTAGTTTTGCGCATGCGTTGTAATGCATTTTTTAATTTTTGGCTTTTTAAGTCTCTTCTGCTATGTTTTTCAATGTTTTTATGAGTGATGGTCACTTTTTGGCCTGATAGGTATATTGTGTCCAAATTTGGTGTCAATTCATCCAGTGGTTTTTGAGTTATGTTAATCCCATAAACGAACATTACATTTGTATTTATATAGATTCCCATCCAAACCCAAGTAATGAAGGTATAGGCATTACTTTTCATTCAACCCTCGTAATTTTATGGTCAGGGGTCACCACAACATGAGGAACTGTATTAAGGGGTCGCGGCATTAGGAAGGTTGAGAAACGCTGATGCATGTCATTCCCACCCCCCACTCCCAGTGTGGAAACACTGCACAGGAGAAGTCTTTCCCAGAGTGTAATGTGATATAGTTCAAGGCTTCACCTGTTGACTTGTTTCCTATCCGAGAGCTCTTACAGAGGCAGAGACTTTTGATCAAGCAAAACAAGGCAAGCCCTGGGATGACTCCAACAGAGCAGATCTCCCCCACAAGATCTCAATGTGATCTTGGGAGACCCTGGAAGGGCTTTCCTCCCCCGTTCCAGCAGGGATGAATCATAGAATCATAGAGTTGGAAGAGACTTCATGGGCCATCTAGTCCAACCCCCTGCCAAGAAGCAGGACAATTGCATTCAAAGCACCCCCAACAGATGGCCATCCAGCTTCTGTTTAAAAGTTTCCAAAGAAGGAGCATCATCATTTGGGAGTTGTGGTTGCTGGGATTTATAGTTCACCTACAATCAAAGAGCATTCTGAACACCACCAGTGATGGAATTGAACCAAACTTGGCACACAGGACTCCCCTGACCGACAGAAAACACTGGAAGGGTTTGGTGGGCATTGACCTGGACTTTTGGATTTGTAGTTCACCTACATCCAGAGAGCACTGTGGACTCAAACACTGATGGATCTGGACCAAACTTGGCAGAAATACTCAATATGCCCAAATGTGAACACTGGTGGACTGCATAGAGTGCGGTTACCTTCCTACCAGAGCAGTACCTATTGATCTACTCACATTTGCATGTTTTTGATTCTTTTTTTCGTGTCAGGAGCGACTTGAGAAATTGCAAGTCCCTTTTGGTGTGAGAGAATTGGCCACCTGCAAAGACGCTGCCCAGTGGACGTCCAGATGTTTTGATGTTCTACCATCCTTGTGGGAGGCTTCTCTCCTGTCCCCTTATGGGGAGCTGAAGCTGACAGAGGGAGCTCATCCATGCTCTCCCCAGATTTGAACCTACAAGTTACTCCTGCCAACACAAGCGCTTAACCCATTGCAGCACTGGGGGCTCCGTTTTCGAACTGCTAGGTTGGCAGAAGCTGAGGCTAACAGTGGGAGCTCATGCAGCTCCCTGGATTTGAATCTGTGACCTTTCAGTCAGCAAGTTCAACAGCATAGTGCTCGTTTAGGCCTCAAATAATAGAATCATAGAGTTGGAAGAGACCTCGTGAACCATCTAGTCCAATCCCCTGCCAAAAAGCAGGAAAATTACATTCAAACCACCCCCGACAGATGGCCATCCAGCCGTCAGGAGAGAATGCCTCTAGACCATGGCCATATAGCCCGAAAAAACCTACAACAACCCATGAAAGCCTTTGACAATACATCCAGCCTCTGTTTAAGACTTCCAAAGAAGGAGACTCCTCAACACTCCGGGGCAGAGAGTTCCACTGCTGAACGGCTTGATAATTCATGCAGTTTGACAACAGCTTTGACTCAAGGCTGTGGAATCCTAGCAATGGTCGTTTTGCAAGGGTTTTTTGTTTTGTTTTTGGTTTTTGTTTTTTCTGATGTCTCAGTCTCACCAAACTACAAAGCCCAGCAGTCAGCAACATGGAACCTGGGGAGTTAAAAGGCTCGAATTGCACAGATCCCAAAAGGCAACAGGGTTTGGCTCAAGGCAACAAACCCAGTATGCAAGTGGGTGTTAACTAACTATGGGAAGGAGAGCCGCCCCCCCCCCCCTCCCCAGCCCCACACTTGCCTTGAACTTACTCGCCTTTTCCGAAGCGGAGCAAGGAAGGAACGATCCACGCGCGACGTTTGTGGCTCCTTCTCCCCTTCCGTTGCTCGGCCCACGAGGAATCGTGTTCCCTCTTCCCACGGGGACACCGCCCACCGGGCTGGGCGTGGGGAGGGCTTGCCTGTGGGGCGCCCAAGGCGAAGATAGACCCGAGCCTTGCCTGAGTCGCCTCCCCACGCGAGTGGGTCGGGTCTTGAGCCGCGAGTGGGAGAAGGGCTTCCACGCAGATCCTCTCTGGCGCGGCCCCCTCAGCAGCGTCCAAAACAACATAAAAATGTACACACCCTTTCACAGCGGATGGCAGCTAATGCTTGCTCTTGCAAGGCCAAGCCAATGCTTTGTTGACTCTCAGTTAACCGGCAGTTTCTGGTTGCGTGAGAGTTACTATTAAAATAAGCCTAACTCAATTGGAAGGGGTGAGAGGAGGGAAGGGCATAACCAAAAATATTGTATAGATCAGGTATGGGCAAACTTGGGCCCTCCAGGTGTTTTGGACTTCAACTCCCACAATTCCTAACAGCCGGTAGGCTGTTAGGAATTGTGGGAGTTGAAGTCCAAAACACCTGGAGGGCCCAAGTTTGCCCATGCCTGGTATAGATGTTAGAAAGTATTATATTGGTTCATACATATATAGATGTATGTAGATTTGTTTCACTTTTTATGAATCTGTAATCTATATATATAAAAATGCTCTGTGCATAATGAGTACCTTAAAAACAAAAGAACCAATGAACGAAATCACACCAAATTTGGCAACAAAACGTCTCACAACACAAGGAGTGACCATCACTCAAAAAATTATGATTTTGTCATTTGGGAGTTGTAATTGCTGGGATTTATAGTTCACCTATAATCAAAGAGCATTCTGAACTCCACCAATGATGGAATTGAACCAAACTTGGCACACAGGACTCCCATGACCAACAGAAAACACTAGAAGGGTTTGGTGGGCATTGACCTTGAGTTTTGGAGTTGTAGTTCACTTACATCAGAGAGCACTGTGGACTCAAACAGTGATGGATCTGGACCAAACTTGGCACAAGCACTCAATATGCCCAAATATGAACATAGATGGAGTTTGGGGGAAATAGACCTTGGCATTTGGGAGTTGTAGTCACTGGGATTCACAGTTCACCTACAATCAAAGAGGATTCTGAACCCCACGAATGACAGAATCGGGGAAAACTTCCCACACTGAACCCCCATGACCAACGGAAAATAATTAAGGCCATCCAATCCAACGCCCTTCATCAGGGCAAGAAAACGTAGTCAAAGCCCTCCTGACAAAGAGCCATCCAGCGATAGATAGATAGATAGATAGATAGATAGATAGATAGATAGATAGATATGATTCACACACAGATATAGTATCATAGATTTGAAAGGGGCCCTTAAAGAAGGACAATGATATGTTGCATGTTCCAGGGTGGGCAAACCAGACACTCTCCACATCAACACTGACAAAGAAACAGCAAGAAATACTGTTTACCCACAAGCATAAAGACATCATGTATTTTAGAAACCAACACTTTCTCATTACTTTATTTTCCATATCAACAGACTAGGCCACAGCAACGCGTGGCAGGGGACAGCTAGTTCAATATAAATAAAAATGTAATGTTCTTTGTGGGATTAACATAACTCAAAAACCGCTGGACGAATTGACACCAAATTTAGACACAATATACCTATCAGGCCAATGAGTGACCATCACTCATCAAAACAAGGGAAAACACAGCAGAAGAGACTTAAAAAGCCAAAAAAGCCAAAAATTACATCGCAACGCATGCGCAAAACTACATATATATACGCAAACACATATACACAAATATATACACACATAAAACGCATATACACAGACTGGGCCACAGCAATGTGTGGCAGGGGACGGCTAGTTGGAAATAAAAACATATTAATTATATAAAAATAAGCCTAATTAATATTATGCCCTTACTATATCATAGCATAATATTATTATATGCTTATTATTATTATTATTATTATTATTATTATTATACCCTTACTATATCATAGCATATTATTATACCCCTTTTAATAATTATTATTATTATTATTATTATACCCTTACTATATCATCACATAATATTATTATATCCATTATTATTATTATTATTATTTTACTGACACAAAAACACAGTATGTCACAGCAAATGAGATATATACGCTGGATATCGTATCACAAAATCACTGGTCAAACACTTCCCAAGCATCTAGGACTGTGCGATGTATTTTCGAATGATGCACACAGATCCAAGTAAGGTGGCCTTACTTGGATCTTCTTCTTCTTCTTCTTCTTCTTCTTCTTCTTCTTCTTCTTCTTCTTATTATTATTATTATTATTATACCCTATATCATCACATGGAGCCCCTGGTTGTGCAGTGGGTTAAACCACTGAACTGCTGAACTTGTTGACAAAACGTTTGCAGGTTCAAATCCGGGGAACGGTGTGAGCTTCCACTGTTAGGCCCAGCTTCTGCCAACCTAGCAGTTTGAAAACATGCAAATGTGAATAGATCAATAGATACCGCTCCGGCGGGAAGGTAACGGCTCTCCATGCAGTCATGCCGGCCACATGACCTTGGAGGTGTCTACAGACAATTCCGGCTCCTTGACTTAGAAATGGAGGTGAGCACAAATCCCCAGAGTTGGACACAACTGGATTTTATGTCAGGGGAAAACTTTTACCTTTACCTTATATCATAGTATGGGCCCCCTTGGTGTTGCAACAGGTTAAATCGCTGTGCTGCTGAACTTGCTGACTGAAAGGTTGGCAGTTCAAATCAGGGGAGCAGGGTGAGCTCCCGCTGCTAGCCCCAGCTTCTGCCAACCTAGCAGTTTGAAAACAAGCAAATGTGAGTAGATCAATTGGTACCGCTTCTGCAGGAAGGTAACGGCATTCTGTGCAGTCATGCCAGCCACATGACCTTGGAGGTGTCTATGGAGAACGCCTGCTCTTCGGCCTAGAAATGGAGATGAGCATCACCCCCCAGAGTCAGACTCATCTAGACTTAATGTCAGGAGAAATCTTTACCTATAAGGTAAAGGTAAAGGTTTTCCCCTGACATTAAGTCAAGTTGTGTCCGACTCTGGGGGTTGGTGCTCATCTCCATTTCTAAGCCGAAGAGCCGGCATTGTCCGTAGACATTTCCAAGGTCTTTTTATATTTACCTTTTTATATCATAGCATAAACTCTGTACTGAGACATTATAAGCAAATGAAGACAAACTTGTTAACAGAGTTTTACTGTATTATCGAAACTGATTTTACTGTATTATAAAATAATGATTTGATTGTAATGTTTATTGAAAATATTGTTACTTTGATTCACCCCACTCCTCCCCCCAGTTGCTTGAGATTTTCAGTTGTTTGAGTTCTGTTAATTGTAAGCCTACTGATAATGTTCTATTATCTGTGCAGAGGCCCAAGGGGGCACTAGAGAGAGAAGGATAGTCCATTGGGAGGTTGAAGGAGTTAAAGCAGACATGGGCAAATTTCAGCCTTCTGGGCGTTTTGGATTTCAACTTCCACAATTTCTAACAACCTCGGGCCCCTTCCTTTTCCCCCTCAGCTGCTTAAACTGGGGGAAGGGGGATCAAAGAAATAATATTTTAGGAGCTGTTCAATTACCCAAGCGAAAGCCATTAGAAGGCGCTAGAGAGAGAAGGATAGTCCATTTTATGGGGGTGGGGGGCATGGGGAATTGAAGGAAGGACATTTTCCCAGTTTTCACCGGTTATTGTTCCTCCACCCTTCCCATATCATAAATGATGGTTGTTTCCACAATGGGAATAACGGGAAAACTTCATGGACAAACTTCAGTCCTCCAGGTGCTTTGGACTTCAACTCCCACAATTCCCAACAGCCTCAGGTCCTCTCCTTAAGGAAGGGGACTGAGGCTGTTAGGAATTGTGAGAGTTGAAATCCAAAACACCTGGAGGGCCCAAGTTTGCCCATGCCTGGTGGTGGTGCTCATTTCTAAGCTGAAGAGCCGGTGTTGTCTGTAGATACCTCCAAGGTCATGTTTACTATATCATAGCATAGGCTCCCTGTTGGCGCAGCGAGTTAAACYGCTGAGCTCCTTAACTTGCTGAATGAAAGGTGGGGCAGTTCAAATCCAGGGAACAAGTCGAAGGTGGAAAACCATTGTCCCCGTTTTTACTGGTTATTCCCCCCCCCCCCCATATCATAAACAATGGTTGACGGTGACATGGGTGGGGGGAATAACAGGGAAACGGAAATGGTTTAATTCCTTCATCCCCTCCCGCCCCCATAAAATGGACCCCCAACCATAAAATTATTTCCGTTGCTACTGCATAACTGCAATTTTGCTACTGTTATGAATTTTAATGTAAATATCCAATATGTAGAATGTATTTCCATTCACTGGACCAAATTTAGCACAAATATCCAATACGCCCAAATTTTATTACTGATGGGATTGGGGGTGGGAACAGGGAATTGATTTTGTCATTTGGGAGTTGTAGTTCCACCAACGATAGAATTGAACCAGTCTTGAAACACAGAACTCCCACGACCAAGAGAAAATACTGGAAGGGTTTGGTGGGCATTGACCTTGAGTTTTGGAGTTGTAGTTCACCTATATCCAGAGAGCACTGTGGACTCAAACAATGATGGATCTGGACCAAACTTGGCACCAATACTCTATATGCCCAAATGTGAACAATGGTGGAGTTTGGGGAAAATAGACCTTGACATTTGGGAGTTGTAGTTGCTGGGATTTATAGTTCACCTACAATCAAAGAGCATCCTGAACCCCACAAATTGTAGAATTGAGCCAAATTTCCCACACAGAACCCCCATTACCAACAGAAAATACTGTTTTCTGATGGTCTTTGGTCACCCCTCTGACACCCCCTCACAACCCCATTAGGGGTCCCGACCCGAGGTTGAGAAACACTGGACTAGTGGTTGTATTTATACTTCCATGGGATATTGTTTTTATTCTCATGTACCGTTTATGTTACATACTACACTTGTAGTGCCTTGTAAGCCACCCTGAATCCCTTTTGGGAGATATTGGCAGGATATAAATAAAGAAGAAGAAGAAGAAGAAGAAGAAGAAGAAGATCCTTCTCTCTCTAGCACCCCCTTGTGGCCTCTGCCCAGATAATGAAATTGTACCATTTGTTCTTAAGTTGAATTTGTATGTCGCTTGAAACCCATTTATTCAATGCTGTTATACAATTAACAAAGACAGACAATACATACAAAATGTCAAAACTTCCCTCTTTTTCATTTCCGGCATCTGGAGGCTGCGCTTGC